CCTTCCTTCCTTCCTTCCTTCCTCCTGGACTGGACATAGGCTGCAACCAGACGTGCCGCGGCGATAGATGTGGCTGGCATGTTATGCGCAGGCCCACCAAGCCTCCATGAATGGTCTGCTACACCACGTACGACCTCCTCACTCAGCAATGCCACGACGAGGTTGACCGCACCCTTGCCAGGGGCGACCCCCTTGCGATCACCTTGTGCCCGTGTGCGCGCCATGGACCTCCTGAACCAACGTAGCGACCGGGAACACCAACAGCAAGCTACTGGCCGAGCGTAAGAAGTGGTGGATGTACAATGTGGCTAAAGACCGTCTGGCCAAGGGTCGGCATTCGGCATGTGCTCATCGAGAATCCCTGGAATTCGGCTATGTGGGAATGTCCGCAGTCCCAAAAGTTCTTTCGCGATTTCCTTCGCGATTTTCCACTTGACAAGGCCGCCATGGAGCCCATGGAGTGTGTGAAGACTGTGAAGACTGACCAATGCATGCCTGGCCTGAAGGACGAGATCAAGCACTTGTCGCAACTGAAGCCCGCCGGCATCCTCACAGCCTCCAACGAGGTGAAGCGTCACCTCAGCACCGCCATGTGCGACGGGATGCACATGTGTCAGCAGTTGGACACCAAGAAACGGTGTGCGGCGGCACACCAGTGGCCACGGGCTTTGTGTGAGCAGATCATACAAGGTCTCATGGCCGAGTTGGACTACCCCCGCCGGACCTCCGCGCCATGGTTGCTTTCCCCATGGCCGAGCTGGAAAAAAGGTCTGGCGACGAAGATGAGGGCGAGAACGCCTGCCTCGACGGCACCCTCAATGCCGGCGATGTCGCGGACAATCCTATAGCATCCCCGACTACGCAGACAAGAAAGAAAGAACAAGAAGAGTGGGAGATTGTCTACGAGCAAGGTGAAGTGCCTCCACCTTCTGAACCACTTGGCGAGCCGAGCAACGGCAGCAACAACAATGGCGGCAACTCCCCTACCACGCACGAGTGGCTTGGAGTTTGCAGTGGGGTCGAGAACCACCGGGTTCCCTGCAATGGATTTTTCGCAGAGCCAATGGGACTTGGAATCCCTCACAAGGCTGATGCCTGCAGATGATGATCAGAGGAGCAGCCAAGGAAGCCTTCTCTCAGGTGGACAGCTCGCAGAGGATCAGAGAGCGGCGATGCTACGCAAAGGTGTGCCAAGCAGCAGCAGAGGGCCACTCAATATGGGAGATTTGATCTGCTTCTACAAATGTCGAGGAGAGTGGAAATGGTTTGGGCCGTCTCGCGTTATCGGCCAAGAAGGACGAAGCGCACTTTGCCCTGATGATGATCCTTTCCTGGACGACCTCGTCGAAATTTGGCGGCACTTCAGAAAACCAGCAACAGGGCTTCTTCGACCTCAACGACCACTTCAGTGACTACTCACCTTCCAATGCTGAACCATGCAGCCGGGCCGAGCGATGGGCCGGAGACATCTGGACTTCATCCGCCACCGCCTGGACTCTCTCCCATCCCTTTGCTCAACAGATGATCGACAACCACGGCGAGACCGCGCAAGGAGCAGCTATACGGCATGTAAGTCAGTTCAGATAGACATTAATGGGCAGGAGAGACCTGGACTCCAAGCGCCGCTGCCTGGACTCTCCCATGGCCACAGCCATGCGATGCCATGCATTACCCGTAGCAGGTCCCGTGCGAATCATGCCAGCTGTTCCAGACAGCATTGTGGGGCCCCACCTTCGTCCACTGGCGACCCAGACCAAGAGATGGTACCACCGTGACGTAAGTGATCTACCAACCACTACACGACCTGTACCGCAAGTGGTCCAAGACAACCAACCTGAATCACGTCCCCTGCAGCGAGCTCTTCGAAGATCACCCGGTCACGATCTCCACCGCGTGCCATGATGGCGATTGCCGAGAATCCTCAGCTTGGAAAGTGCATTCACGGTTTTCTCGCCCGAACAATCAACAAGAATCTAAGAAGAGCGCCGCCGCAAGGGCCAAGGACCTCAACTTCAAGAAGTCCACTGGAGCTCAGCGTGAAGGCACATCCTGGAAGCAAGGAAGAACGAATGGGGAACTGGCAGGGATTTGATGTGACGCTGTGGATGTGATCCTGCCAGATGACGTACAAAAGCTACTTTGAAGATGCCCCGATGCGGAGATCGCGCCAACGCGATGGGTAAACATCGACAGGGCGCAGCCTTGGCAGCCCCCAAAGTAAAAATCCAGGATAGCGGTTCGAGGAGACTCTTAACACGGAGTTCGATCGTGCTAGGCTTACTCTGCTGTCCACCATGGCCAATCGAAGACTACGACTACGCGGCGGGGACATCACAGCTGCGTTCCTGCAAGGGCAAGAACAGCTGCGGCGCTTCTGCTGAAACCTCTGCCTGGTGGCGTGCCGGGTGTGCCAGAGGAGCCTTATGACGGGCGCTGAAGATGCTTCTTCAAGTGGTTGCGCAACGTGGCTGTGAAGCTCGGACTTCGAGCTCTCCTGCACGATCATGCGGCTTATGTCTTGCAGGATGATGATGGAGTCCACGGCGTGATGGTTGCGCATGGTGATGATTTGTTGTGATCGGGCGCGGAGCGCATGGACAAGGTGATGGAGGCAATCACCAAGGAGTTCAAGTTTGGTTCATTGGAATTCGGAAGTAAGTTCGACTACTATAGACCGAACCATCTCACAGGAGGACGAAAGCATCCGAACTTCTTGCCCGATTCACGCCTCCAAGCTTCGCAAGATCTACTTCGGCCCATGAGGACGACGACAAAGGGATGCGAAGATTACGGAGCCATGCAGCGCGATCAACTACGGAGCATTGTCGGCAGCCTCAACTGCATGGTGAGGGTGTGCCGCGTGGATATCGCCTACAGATCCGAGGTGACCTACTTGCAAGCAGTGATGCAGCAAGCTGTTGTGGGAGATTTGATCGCCCTCAACGACCTGTCGGCCTACGCTCGCGCGTGGGTGCGGGGCGTTGGTCGTGGAGTAGCCGGCGCCGGAGCTACAGAAACTTGCGTCGCACCTCCGGCAGTGCCACCCTCTTGCTCTACCTGCTGGAGCTCTTCGTCTATCTCGCGGTGACCGACCTCGCCATCCACATTAACGACATGTTGGGTTCGATCTGCGCCAGAATGGAAAGTGCGTTACTTCCACCCGTCCGGCCTCGATCGTTTCCGTGAGAACCCGGGCTACGTTGGCGCCAAGGCACGGGTGAGTGCACTTAGGCAGTGTTATCGGTCCGCGTGCGGCCCCCCAACGACTGGTCTGTGAACACGGTGGTCCCGGGTGTGGTTGACATGGATCGCCTTAGCAGGGCGACTGCTTCGCGGCCCCCTCGTTTCCCTAAACCCTGAACCCTAACCCCTGAACCCATCCGACAGATGGACGAGAGAAGGGGGACCTCAAGCTCCGTCGAAGCGAGGATTGGTGTCGGTCCGGCCAAAGCGCCACCATGGGAGTAGCGATGTGCCCACGCACCGCTTTCTTAGACCTGGGTGGAAGGCTGGTCACATGGTGTTCGGCCACGACTTGCAGAAGCCAGCGGGCAGTTTCGTCAACCACTTCAACGGCTCCGAGGCTGTGCCCATCACCGGCTCCGCTCACGACGCCCTGGCGGAGCTTTTGGCACTCCAATCGACGAAGCTGTCTACAAGGCGCAGCCGCCGAACACGTCGTCCATGGCGTCTCCCTCGCCGTGACTGAGGGCATGGTGCTGAGACCCACTGAATTGATTGGGACCGAGAAGATCCTGGCCCAGATCGACAGTGACCGCTTGCTTCACATTTTCTCACAGTCGATCTTCACCCAGAGGCAGCTGACAAGGGCCTGAGCACCTCGCGCCCTTCGCCTCACGCAAGGGCTACATTGGCCTACATCCTGGAGATCCTGGCGCAGGCCTCCCTCCGGTCACCTTCGCCCGCCGCCTGTCCCCACATGGGATGGCCTTCATGGACAGCGTCGCCGGGCAGTTCCCTTTGATAAAGGGTTATGGCAACACGCTGCGGTGAAAGGGTTTTTTGCCGCCTGGCGGCAGGCAGAGCGTAGGCACGCCATGTTTACCGCGTGTCAAAGGCCAACACCTCGGAAGGGGTCTGTCGGGTCGGCGACTCGCGCCTGGGCTGCGCCATCAACGAAGTCATGATAGTGCTCGGCTTAACGACATCAACTTTGCCTTCTGAGTGGTATGCCCGGCAGGGCGAAGTTTGCGCTTCAGATCGCGCTTCGACAAGAAGGGGCCACTGCACCTTTAGTAGATTTTGGCTAACACGTCGTTAGCCTGAAACTTGTTCTGTGCTTTGTCGAGTGCCGCACGCAGCGAGCAGTAGTGAGCATCTTCAGTCATTGGCGGTCGAGCAGATCAGCGCACGATCTCTATGCTTTGGCAGAAGGATCCAGATGAGTTCGTTGGCGCCTTTGACGGGGCTTTTTAGATGTTTGGCGTGAAAATCGAGGGGACTTGGTGCATAACCCCGCACCGCACAGATTTTGGCCGGGGTGGAAGTTTAAGGTTTCAAGGAACTGTCAGCAGCAGCAGCCGCAGCGGCAGGAGCAGTAGCAGCAGCAGCGGCAGCAAGGAAAGTGCCAGCGATCTCGAATGTTTCCTTTCGTTGGCATGGTATCACATTGCGGAAGCAACGCAGGAACATGTAGGTAAGAATGGTAAGAACAAGTCAAACACGGTGGCAACGACAGGGTCGTGAGGCCACCAGCAGAAGCAGCATAGCACGGTCACGGAGCCTCAGCATTTTGACTTTGATGGACGATTTTATCTTTGGGCGTTTGGGCTCAAGGAGGTATATTGGAGTGCGAGGAAATGGAACTTTGCGAGTCAGATCTCCAGGGCCATGTCACGTGGGACCAAACGACCGGTCTCTGTCAGTAATGCTTTCCGAATGGAAGAAGCGACAGCCTTCGTGCCCAAGGACGCAAGGACTTCACGGACTCTGGATCCCCGACACGACGGCTCGATCACTACACCCGTTGCTGGGCTGCCTGGAGAGAAGGATATGGAGACTCCACCCGTCACACGGCGTGCTTCGTTCGACCAAGCAGAAGCACAAGTCACGCGGCGCGCCTCCTTCGACCAGAAGATGTCCAGCACGAAGTCGGCAAGCCCACCTGCACTCGGTGAGAAGCGTGGGGAGAGGGCGAAGCAGGGATTCTTTGTCTGCTGGTTGTGCAAGCGAAAGTTTGATACCTACGAGAAATTCGACTCCCATGTGCTGTACAGCAGGCTGCACCAAGAAACGATCCGACAGCTTGCAGGATTGGCTTAGGATGTGAGCGCTGGACTTGTGCCGGTGACTGGGAAGGATGAGGCCATGAAGCCCGTAGTTGGAACCTTGGAGAAACAAGCGGGTGCCTCTCTGCCGGGTCGTGTTTCGAAGGAACGGGCATGAATCGAAGCAGAGTTGGTTTGTATCGCCCCTGCTCAGCCAGGAGTGTGGCAACTCGAGGCGCGGATGTTTTTTTGTTGGATCCTGACATCGTTCCAGGGGCCCCAGGAGCATGTCAAGTTGCATCTTAGCATGTCCAGGGCAGGCGACTCTGCTGCACACTCAGCTCATCTCAGCTCATCAGACTGTAGCAGCGTGCGTGTTTTGAATTCTCCTGTGCCGCTGTCGCTGAGGCGCCGGAGGCCGCACGAGCGCTCGTGGGCTCCGAGGCCCGCGCCACCTCAAGCGTCTGGGACGTCCATATAAGGACAGGTCTCTCTTGCAAGCTGGCTCACATCCTGCTGCCCCGGCCAGGCTATGCTTCAGAAGCTGTTGGAGTGGCCTGGGCGTTAGACGGGTACGCCTGTACTTCAGGTCCAATGACATAAAGTTAGAAGCACTGGTTGTTCTGGCGTTGTTTACATGTGGCGCATGTGAGAGCCGAAAGTCAGGATGTTAGGAAGCTCGCAACTCACCTCACTCACCTGTTCGCTTTTTGAGGTTTCAATTTCTTTTCCTGCCGCCGTCGGGTCTCATATGCAAGTTCTGCACTTGGAGAAAGACGACTTCAAGTTAGCGCCTTTCTTGTCAATTTTGGCTGAAAGCAAGATGCCAAAGTCCCAAAGCCATGCATGTGCAGTTTCGATGGGAAGCCGGCCTATTCCTCGCACCCTCTGCTGAGCTTTGGAGATGCCATTTAATCACACCAGACATCCAGATGAACTGCCATGGACTGTCCAAGGCTTGGCGGTGCCACGGCCAGTGCCAGTCTGATGCGGCGCGTGGTGCCAGAAACTCACCTTGCAAGGGCTGCCACCGTCGCCCGATGCCGTCGCTTTGCTTGGAAGTTGTGAGTCTCAGGGTTTTCGAGGGTTTGAGGGCGGAGTTTCGGATCACGCCATGATCAGTTTCGGGCCCAGGCCTGGAGCCTTGAAGAATCGGACCCGCGTCCCGAAACTGACTCCCGCCGGGCCGATTCCACAACCAGAACCCCGAAACTATGCCGCAACTATGGGCACCCTGCTTTGCTTCTGACTTGGACATTGTGTTTTGGAGTTTCAAAAGCTTTCTTTTCCATCAGGTCTTGTGAACGGGCCCTGTTCTCGGCACCGATGGTGTCTAACTCCGTCTATGCCCGGAAATACAGCGTTCTGGAGTGCCAGCCTTAGCAAAACTGGTGTGATTTCAGTGTTCACAGTCGCGGCACAAGTGGTGTTTTCATATTCTCTGACCTGTCTGAGCCTCACCACTGCACCAACATCTCTTGCCGCTCTTGCCAAAGTATTTCACTGATGAAACATGATGAAACTGAGCAGCCGAAGGCACTATGTTCGTCGGCACTTTCTGGCTTTTGTGGCACTGCCTGGGCCCGAGACAGGTGCACAGTGTACGTGCATGCATCTATTTGTAGTTCTTGTTCGTGTACGGCATTTGCAGCTCCAGTGCCTGTGATGTGTGAAGAGCAGGCGACATGTACAGCCGGTCGGTCTTGATGCAGTTGAAACATAAACCATGCAGGACAAGCTCCTATGTCAAGCCCTGTGTTGTGAAACTGGGAACAGAGCAGCGACTTTCCTATGATAGTTTCAGGCAACATCGGTGCTTTGCGACTTCATATTTTTGAAATGACCTACCCGAAAGACATATGAATCAAGTCTGCAAGGTTGGAACATATTTGGTCTTGTTGGTGGGCTGTTTGAACAAATGCTTTTCCTTTGCGTGCTGATTGCGCATAGGTGTCCACAGGTGTGCATGCAGTTTAGTGTGTGCTTTCTTGCATGTACCCGTCTGTTTTATTGTAAACAGCATCTGCGCGGCGATTGTTTACCGCTAAACGTCTGTGGCTCTGCTAAGTGTGTCTGTGTGAGCATGTGTCCGTGTGTGTGGACGTGCGTACATGTGTGTGTATGTGTGTAGGTGTATGTGCCACATTAGTATGTGCATGAACATGCGCATCCGTTCGCAGATCAGGCCCGTTTTGTCTTCTTTCTGTTTCTCGGTGGTTTGCAAGGGGTCTTGGCCTTGCTCTTTTGTTAGTATGCAGCACGTAGCACTGTCATACGACATTACATCATTACGTGCTATTAGCACGGTTTACTGTGAACTGCATTTCGCAGTGTATACTGAGTATACTGTTACATCGGCAGCATGCAGTCCAAAGCATTTCGTAAACTACAGTAAGAGTCGTGCAGCACCGAAATGAAAGGACGTAGTTGTTGGACAGAAGTGACATGAAGAGCTTAGCACTTACCAAAGCGCAGTCGTGGGGCCAGGTATGTTCAAAGTCTTGATAAAGTCTTGTGACCGATTCCAGTTCCACCGCGCTGCTCTTGCTGACCTTGAGGTATAACAGCCGCAGGGGAAGTTCTATGGAGGAAGCGCAGCCGGTCCCCCATATGTCCATGCTAGTTAAGTACGGTACTGCAGTAACCCGTCTTCAATTGCAAACTCAGTTGAAGTGACCTGCAGGCTTGGTTTATGTCTGTTTGGTGCAGAGAAGGTGCATTGCTGCTTGCCGCCTTCATCTGGAAACTTTGCTTCGCACCCAGCGCAATCTTGGTGGCCCTTCTTCGTAACACCCCCTTGCAACATTATTCTTGTCGTTATTTAGCGTATTTTTTTAAGCACTGTATTTTTCGCGACTTCTGTGGATAAACGCTGGATATCGGCCGATATGCTTCTAAGCCCATCATAGAGCCATCGTGTCGGCCTGGTCTTTCCGCAAGGGAGGTGCAAAGCACAAAGTTGGAACCCACGAATTGCAATGTTGGGTGATGCTTCAGGCTCGCAATTGCTGGTTTGGATATGGATGACCACCTCACGCCACAAGCTTGGGGGGGGGAGAAGGTCGTAAATGACACTTTCCGTGGTCAAGCCATTAGCTTTTGAGTGGATTTTTGATAGGATTTTTTCTCTTGTTAATTTCTGGTTCGCTCGCAGAGGTCTTCTGACAGGTTTCGTGCGACCTAGGCGGCGCGTGTTCCTGCAGCTGTCCGTTCTGGACTTCTTTGTCGGGGAGGCATTCAGTAGGGCTTCCAGGTTGACAGCTGGCTGCCATGTTGCGGATGCAGGGATGTCGTTGATCGGGAAGCCGCAGCCTTTCGATGTTTTTTTTTCACTTCGCAGAGTTTTCCGGAGCTTCGCAGCATGCGCAGATCGAGCTGGAGCACGTCACAACCCAGATGCAGCAGAACTTTTTACGACGCCGAAGCCTCTGTCAGACAGCTTTCTGTTTCGCGATTTGCCGAAGCTTTTGCGGAAGTCCCTGCAGAAGGTCTTCGCAAGCTGCCTCGGGCTATACAATCCCCGGCACTGCTTTGTTACCACTCGGGCGGCTGCTACCTTTGCAATGAATAGCAACAGTAGGCTTATACATCTTTGACGGAACCCTTGGCAACGAACGAGAGACAATAACAAGCGTCACACGATGAAGCTCATGTACCACCCAAATGTCGCAGCCAAACAGCGATTTGTGCTGGAAGTTCTTGGAGTGTTTGGCTTGACGGGTGCAGATGCAGTGAAGCATAATTGGATGCTCACACTTCTCAAATCTTTTATCTCCAGCAGTTCGTCCTTATAGCAATCATTTCCAGCTCTGATTTCCGTTAGTGCCTCGAGGCCTTGTATATAAGTAGACTGAGCAGAGGTTACTGGAAAACGGTCTGCGGAACATGCGGAAGCAACTTTTGGCTCAGCGGAACGCACTGATATTGCCTGTTGAGTTTTGTAGGAATCAAAGCAAAAGCTCTACCGAGGTTTAGCTGTGGGAACTGGAAGAAGACCCCACGCTTATGGGACTGGACGGATAGAAGCCAGAGCACAATACGCATCAGCACGCACAGGTCCACTTCAGCAGATTTGACAACTGCATCGGATCCGTTAAGCAGATGAAGCCAGCGAGCCAGCCTGGAACCGACCAACATCACACAGGGGCAGTCATCCACTCGTGCCCAGTTCTCCCATCGCCCAGGTCAGAACAAGGCAGGATCTGCCTGGCCAGTGCCTCAGCCACCTCAGTTTGATGAGAATGGATGTCGGATGGCTCGGGAGAAGCATAGCTGTGCCAAGCCAGGCCTCAGGATTCTGTGGATTCGCCATCGGCGCTCGCACTCAGCCGGGAATTGCTTTGGTGGAGATTTAGTGGAGTCACCTAATTGAGGCTGGGTTGCAGAAGGCTGCATGGGGCCATCCGCAAGCATTGCTGTATTCTTGTTGGGAGAGTGAGGATACGGCTGCCCGCAGGTTTCACTATTTGTTGGCTCTAAGCTAGCATGTGCTGCTTTGGAAGACCCAGAGTGGAGGACCCTGGTCATGTCATGTACCGGTAGACGTCCATGCCAACTGCAGGTTCACGCTGAGTCAGCTTTTGTTGGGGCGAAGGCGAATCAACAGTTTCCACTTGGCCAAACCATCCCATGTGAGATGGCAGAATTTCATTGTTTTAGCCCTGCAAATCAGGAGAAGCTATCTGATCCGTGCAGCATGTCAAGATGCCGGAAAATCATCGTTCAAGCTACACGAGAACCGTCCACACAAGAGGAGCCGCAGAAGCCCCTGCGCGAGGAGTGGTGCCTTCCTGAAGGCAGACACAGAAGGGTTTCCGTCAGCAATAACCTGTCCTCGCAGAACTTTGCACGTTGCTCCCTCAAAATGTTGTGCTTTCCTTCTCACAGCAGCACCAGATTCATGTCTGCATACATAACTGCACAGACTTTGCTATTGCATGCCCGTCTGTATGTTATATGACTGTATGTGCCTGCACAGGGATGGTTGATTCGTATATGCATATTTAAGGGGCTGCGCCCAGAGTCGGGCAACGCAGGCAGTTCATTCATTCATGC